ACCACGGATTCACTTCCCACCAGCACCTCAGGGCAGAAGTCAGCACCTGGGCAGCGGCACACTTCAAGTCCACAAGAACTGCTGGGTCACTTGCGATTGACCTTTTTGATTTCTTGTGAAAACATGTTTTATCCAAATTTCACTCGACCTAGTACCACCGGTGTCCTTCACACCACTGGTTTGTTCAAAGTTGCGACCAGTTTCTCAGGATGTGTATATAAAATGACGGCCTAGTTCCAGATAACCCTGCAATGATGTCTTCCCCAACTGGAATCATTTTTCCAAATCAAAACAGGGAAAATCAAAAAATGTTCAACAGCTACTGAGAATGTCATTGAAAAATTACAGCCCCTTAGACCCCAAACAATTTTTCCATATCCATCGTAGCGTCTGCGTGCATGTTTGTGGTTTTATTAGCTCCTGATGTTGGCAATTTTTAGTCCATCTCAACTGAGAACAGCATGAATCACAAGCAACGTTTTTTCATGTTATTGCTATCTGGGGTCTATGCTGGTGTAACTCCTGAGACAACAAAAAGACACAAAGGGAGAAAAGGACCAATCACAATGAAATCGTGATGAAACAAGAACAGGACGCCGGCACTAGGGGAGACATATGAATGGGGAGACAAACGAAGTGGGAGATTGTGAGAAACAAATGATGGAAGACACGCCTTTGGGCGAACAGGCGAAGGAATCAGACACCAAGGCAGAGTGATGATTGAAGATACATGAGTCGGGAGACAGATGAATCAGGAGATAGATGGTAAGAGAAAAATTATGGGAGCCCAGTGGAAGCAAAGAGAAGACATCCGAACAGCCGGACACCACTAGTGAGAGACACATGAAGGAAGACACGGAAAGACAGACACCCGGAGAGCCGGACACCACCACCCAAAATGGAGACACCACTAGCCAGAGCGGGAAACACATGAAGGGAAACAAGTGAAGAGAGACATCTGGAGAGCGGAACACCACCAGCCGTCGAAAGCCAGACTGGGAGACAAGTAAAGAGAGACCAGTGAAGAGAGGCATCCAGAGACCCGGAAACCATTAGCCAGAGTGGGACATGAAGGGAGCCCCGAAAACAAGCACCGCAACAAGAGAAATCCAGAGAGTCGGGCACCAGTAGCCAGAGTGGGAGACGCAAGGAGACGGAGAGAAGTAAAGAAAAACATCTGGAGACCCAGACACAATTAACCCAGCTTTGCAACCCAACAGCAGTGACAGTTTCAAATTCAAGGCTGAGAGGCTGAGGGATACAATTGGAGGACAATTGGATCACCACATCTAGCAGGCAGCTCGGAAACACTTGGAAAGCGATTGAAAAGTTATTGGGGGACTAAACCTGGAAGACAGCCGGGCGTTGTGGGGGCTAAGTGGAAGGCAACTGGGAAAGAATCGGGAGAGCACATCTGGAACTAACTCGGAAACAATTGGAAGACCACAGTTGTACGACAAGCACGAGACAACTAGGTGACAAGTGGGAAACAACATCTAAAAGACAACTGGGAAACCACGGGCGACAAATGGAAGGCACTTAGAGACAATTGGAAGACCAATTCTGGGAGACAAATGGGAATTGTGGAAGGCCTGGGAAGCAATTGGAAGAAATCATCTCAGCAAACTGAAAATTGGAGGCTCCAAAATGCAACCCCTCTCAGGAAATCAGCGCCCGGACCTCCTAACAGCTCTGATGAACATGTCTCTTGTACTTCGCCTTTCCAGATCCCCTTCAAATGTCCCACGCCTGCCATCGTTTTTTGAAATGCTACAAAACCCTCACGTTCTGCTCACTTTTGACAAGGTCCACAATCCCTTGCACCTGCCACGCGAAACGACATCTGAACGTCCAAAAGTGGTCCGAGCACGTAGTGTCTTTCACATTTTGACTTCGAAATGTGCTTCGCGCCACAACAGCGCACACTTTTTCAACATCTCAACTTCCAAAAGTGCTCTGAACGTCGTGGTGTGCTTTGTACATTTTGACTTGGAAATGTGCTTCGCGCCACAACAGCGTGCATTTTTTCAACATCTCAACTTCCAAAAGTGCTCTGAACGTGAGGTGATTTTTAGTTTTTTTCACTTGCAAATGTGCTTCGCGCCACAACAGAGCGCACTTTTTCATCTCTCATCTGGCCAGCTGGCTCCGCACCCGCCGCTTTAGCGAGCATACTTTTCGACCCTCTGGAGCCACAAATCATTGGAAAAACACAGTGTTTCGCGACTTTCCTACCTTTCGCGCACCTGCATCTTCTTTTTTTCTGACTCTTTCTCTTCTCTGATCTTCTCTCTTCTGCTCTTCTCTTCTCTATTCTTCTGCTCCACCTCTGCTTTTCATCTGTCCATCTTGTCGGAAGTTTTACTTCTAAACTTCCTTCAATAAGATACAGATATGATACATATCAACATATATATTATTTAAAAAAATATGATACTTGTGTGAAATGTATATGATACGTATATGATACGCTTATGATACGTTTATCGTACATATATGATACATATCTAATACATATATGACACATATACAACGGATTCATGAAACATATATTGTACATATGTGATACGTATATAATTACTATGAATACTATACATATATCAAACATATAGGATACAAATATGATACATATATGACACACAAATGATACATATATTGCACATAAAAGTTACATATGTGATACATATATGACACGCTCATGATACATATATGATACTTAAATATGACAAAAATATTTTACATATACGTTCATGATACATGTATGAGACATAGTATGATACATATATGATACATATACATTCATGTTACATATATGATACATATATGACACGCATATGACACATAAATGATACAAATACACTCATGATACCTTAATGGCACATATATGACACATAAATTATACAAATACATTCATGATACGTATATGATACATATATGACACATTCATGATACGCATATGGCACATATGTGAAACAAAATTGTACGTACATAATATGAATATGATACATATATGATACATATATGACACATATATGTATCATATATGACACATGAATGATACAACTGCATTCATGATACATATACGATATGACACGGTCATGCTACATATAGTGTATGATACATATATGACACATATATCACACATAAATGATACAAATACATTAATGATACATATGGCACATGTATGAATATGATACAAATACATTCATGATACATATATGACACATATATCACACATATATGATACTGAAAAGCAAAGTGGCAGGCAATCAGCCCTTTTCCAGAGCGCCTGCTCGTGTGTCTCCCCCACACGATAGGGCCTAAGCCCATGTCTCCGCTGGCGAGGACGCGCTTTGTTCAATGATGCGTTTTGCATCCCTGAAATTCACATGGACCACACTTTATGTTGAACAAAGCGTGGATTTCAAGAAGTTTCTTGTGCCCTGTCTCGGTGAGAGACCATTTTCCAAACTTCATCACTCTTTGCAAGAATCCCGGAGGCATTTTCTTGGTTAATGGGTCTGAAATCATGTTGGTTCCACATACCCACCGGACCTGCCCCTTTGTCTTCTCCAAGTCGTCCTTCAAGATCGTCAGATCGATGGCCGTCCGCTTGTCATCTATGTGAGCCGATGTGTTTCGGCACTTGTTCACCGTGTCGTAGAGCGACTTTGAGTCTGTCACTGCTATGAACGGCAGTCGGTGTAGTTCTTGTTCCCAGGTGTCTAGGTTGAGTCGGCCACCTGAGATTTCTGTCAGAAGAAACCTGTGCCAGTGTAGGTTTCCGATCCCCTGGATCATCGACTGGCACTCAGCGCTCAGTGTGTTGACGGTGCAGCGCTTCAGTTTGTAGCTCTTCCAAGCTGCTATTGTCATCATCTCAAGTTGTTCTGATACTTCCAAATTGGCGTCATAGTACACCAGGAGGTATCCACCTTGACTGTGTGTTCGGGCCAATTGCAGAAACCTCTCATTGATGGGTCGATTCACCTCCTCTTCTATAGTCGATTTGATGAACGTAGTTCTTCCTGTCCATTGTTGTTCTTGGCGTTCTCGGATTCCATCTTTTCCATCCCATTCGTCACTGCTTGTTGACATACTCGTTGTGGTCGTTCTTCTCCTGGATATAGTGTGAAGATCTGGTCCTCCGGGAGCCGCGCCAGGATGAAATAGGAGTCGACGTGGAAGAACATGATGTCGTATCCAGCTCGTCTTTGTTTCCTCCCAGTAGTCCTTCTTGGAGTCTTCCAGGTATCTTTCGCCGGCATTTCCCCAGCTGGCGTCGGTAATGACACCGACTCTTAGGCGTTCCATCGGGATCGGTTGGATCCTGATCCCAAGGTCGGGTTTTCGTTTGAGCTCCTCTGCGACCTGGTTGGCCTCGACGATGTCTTTGATCATCGGGTTCGGCATGGTCTGTTGTAGGATGGCAACCTTACCAGCTATGTCTGGTCTTGTCTCCTTTGCTACCCATGAAAGTCCACCCAGCAGGGTTCTCAACTGATTGATCTCAACAGGGGTGCATTGTGAGTACCTCTGTCTCTTTCTGGCCTTGTCAATCTTGATGACGTTGATCTTCTCCTCGATGTAGTGTTTCTGGTGGATCAAGATCGATCCATCATCGGCCGGTTCAACCATCTTCCCCGTGAACTTCCCGCTGCCAGTCGTGTACTTGCCCATCCTGTATTGTTGTTTCAGCCATTCCATGTTGCTCCAGTGTTTCTCGGTTCCACCATGTATCATGTCATCAGTAGCGAGGGCTATCAGGCCTTCAATCTTTGTTTGGTTGTCGTCATAGAGGATGAAGAGGCATGGGTCTGCCTTGCTCTTCCTGTACCCTCTTGATTCGAGCACTCGACTTAAGTGCCTCTACCATTGGTATGGCCCATCAGTCAGGCCATAACAAGTCTTGAGGAGTTTGAGTAGTTGCCGGTCATGAAGTCCTGGAACACCTTCAGGTGGAAGAGAGCAGTATAGTTCCCGGGCGATTTTATCACCACTGTGAAAGGCCTGTGTAAAGTCCAGGTGTCCGATGATCCACTTCATGCTGGCGAGGATCTGAAGGACAAAGAACACTGTGTCCTTGGCCACCTGGGGTGTCGTTGATTCTAAGTCCTCCGCATTGGCTTCAGAATAGCCCTTCATGACATGTCTGGCTTTTGCTTTCAGGACCTCTCCTTCATTGTTGTCTAGGAGCAGACCTTCTTTCTGGAGTGGTTCTACTTCATGTGGTTCTACTGGTTTCTCCGTCAGTACATACCGGCTTTTCATTATCAGATCGGGTTTGTCTCTTCGTATTTGTTCAGACTCTTCTCGGGTGAGAGCCTGGTAAGCTCCTGACTGGAGATTGTTCTTGATTTCCTTGAGGATCGCCTTGTCGAACTTCCTCTGGTTCTTCTTGTCCATGGTCTTGTAGTTGATCTCCTTGCGCTTTCGGTTCATGTTCGCCTGCTCCAGCTGTGTGAACATCATCTCCAAAAGTTCTGCTCGTTGACGTTTCGCCGGCCTTTCTTCATCTTCATCAAGATGTTCTCCATGTCGAACTTGACCGCGTCCATCATCCTCTGCCTCTTGGTTACTCTCCTCTGAAATCACTGCATGTCGTTCTGATCCTTGCTCAGGCAAGAACTGCTTCTCCATGTCCATCTCGGAGTCGACCACCTCCTCATTCGGAGATCTTGGTTCGAGATCTTCAGTTCTAGCTGGTGTGGTCGGTGCGATCGATAGTGATCTAGGTGTCAGCACCAGCTCCGGCTTTTGTTCTTGGTCTTCTAGTCGCCGCCTCTTTTCGATGTAGGCGTCTGGCTGAAACTCAACCTCGGTCTCTCGATGTTTTCCTGTCAGCCGGTATCTTGGTGCTTGAGGTGGTAGTGGTCCAATGAAGTCCTTGTTGATCTCCGGCTGAAAGTCCAAGGCGTCCGGGGGCTTCTCATCGAGGACGATGTAGCCCTTGTAGTCGCCATCCTTGAGCTTCTTCTTCGTGTCCAGGATGTCTTGAATCCAGTCGGTGAGAATGAACTTCTCTTCCTCTGCTATCGGCCTCAGATGCTCAGGGCAGGCCTTGACAATTCTGCCCCGATGTGCCACCCATACTGTAGTTGGCAAATTCGTCAGGATGACCTTTGCTGGGCCGTGCCAAAAGTAAGGGTGATTTTTCTTTCCCCTCTCCATTCCCTTTTTCCAGTAGTAGACCGTCTGTCCCACCTCATAGTGTTGCCATACTCGTGGTCCGGCATGTAGTGAGTTCCGAAGTGCTTGTTCACAGTCCGCCTTGTGGTAGGCGATCGCTGCCGCTGTACGTAGATCCACTGATCGCTGAACTTGTAGGTCTCCAGCTGCATATCTTGATGCTGTTGACTGATCATTGAAACCTCCACTCATGAGGCTTCCTGGGATCCTCGGGCTATATCCCAGCATTCGCTGGATGGGGCTATACCCCGACTTGTTTGCCAGTCGATTGATTGTGGCCGTGACAACATCCACAACCTCATGCCACTCATCCCAGTTGTTGCACGTCACCTCCATCAGTGTTTTTGAGAAAACTTCCTTGTAAGTCCTTCCTGCTCGTTCTGTTAAGGATCTCTGCGTTGGTGACTCTAGTGATCCAGGGTCCAGGAAGATGGCATCCTGGTCCATCATCATTTCAAAACACCCACGGAATTCTTTTCCTAGGTCATCATAGACCCTTTCTGGAGTGCCGAAGATCCGTGTCCACTGTAGGAATGCTTGTCTTGCCGATCTCGGGGTGTGGTCATGTAGGGGTATCACCAGCTGGAACTTGGTGGCCCAGTCAATGATGTTCAGCGCCATCTTCCGCTTTCCGTTAAATTGTAATCCTGGGAGGTAGATGGTGTCGACTCCAACAATTTGGTTGGGAGTCAGTTCTCTCGGTGGTGCTGCAGCTCGGGCTGGGGCAATTTGCCTGTGTCTTTGGCAAACGTCACATTTGAGGTTCTTGGCATATTCCACAGCTTCTTTTCGTGCTCCAGCCTGGTGCAAGATCCTGGCCAGTCTGGCGTTGGCCAAGTGCCCCAAACCACAGTGAGCCCTGCGCACCAGCTGTTCTACTCCAAGTGGTCGTTCTCGTGGTAGCCATGAGTTACCGTCTTCTTCTTCATGTTCCTTCTCCTCATCTTCTATTGCAAGACCTTCCTCGTTGATCACTGCCAAATTCTCCGAGACCTCGTTCGTGTCAATCATCTCGTCATACTTGGCAGTCATGGTATTCTTTGGGACCTTGTCATACTCTATGTCCTCGTCATTCTTGATAACCTGGTCAATCGGTGGGATCTTGTCATACTTGGCGTTGAAGACCATCTCGGTGTGGTAGATCTCCTCGAAGAAGTCCAGATCTCGTACTACTCGAACACGTTCTTGTAGTGGTTGTTTCAGTGATCTGGCGTACGAACCCAGGATGGTATCAACCAGTTTCTTGGGATACTCTTGAGCCAGTTTAGACCTCGACCCTCCGGGTCCCGAACCGAACACAGGCAGGTGTTCATGAGTATGATCACACTGCCGGTCCAATGCCTTAGCGACGATGGCATTGTTGCACAACCATCCCGTTGGCTTTTTGTGAGGAAAGCCCTCTGTTGATTTGAGCCCAAACATGCATTGGTCATTGACTGTGAAGGTGACCGTTGGTAATGCAGCAAGTTTCTGGACCTTTGGTTCCTTCCATGCCTTCGAGGTTCTTGGCTGTTCCAGCAAAAAGGTGCCACCATATGACATGACACGTTCACAAATTTCACATGAAAAATTCAACAAAACCTTTGCCTGAATCAACCTTTTAATGAACTCTCTGTGTTTCGTTTCGTTTGTGAGGTGTTTCACGTTTAGGTTTTGCAGCTGGCTCAACATGGTGCATGGTGTAGAAATGACCACTAGTCCAGGTTTCATTTCATTGACATAGTTGCGAACACTCTGTCGTTGTCTGCTGTCCAACAAGTTGTCTCCTAGTGTCAAATCAAACGCTGCTCCCCTGTCCAGTCCATGTCGGTGTGTCCTTGGTCCAAAACGTTCCGGATTGAACACCTCAGCGACCAGTCTTGCCTTTTTCTTTGTTACCCCAAGGAGGCTTGCCAGTCGTTTCAGCTGGCGTCGGTCAGATACCCGACTTGGGTTCTGGACATCAAAAATTTCCTGAGCCATTTTTGTCATGTTTTTGTCAGGCTCAGGTGAGTTACTTTGGACAAGGGTTATAAGGTTCTGCCACATCTCTGCCGTCTCTCCCAGTGCTGTCTGGGCTTGGTTCAGCACATGCTTGACTCCCTTGTCCTTTTGGTTCTCGCCATCCTCAGTCTCGGTCATGGTTTCTTCCTTGAGCTGGCGGCTGGTGTCGGACCCTGATCTGTCCATATTCCGCCGGCTCGACATGCTCCAGATTTCTTCCACTCGAGGAACTCCTGGTAGTCGGGCTCGATCTTCTTGCGATTCTTCTCCTCCTCCATCTGCTTCGCCAGCTCGGTTTTCTCGGACTTGAGTACCTTGCCACATGTTGCGCACTTCACCATGATCTTGTACGGGTTGGTCCCTCTCTTGTCGACCTTGGTGTGAGGACAGTGTTTCTGAAGCTCCATGAGGATGTTCTCCACTGGTGTTCCTGACATTGATCTCGGTGAGTCCGGCGCATAGTCCTCTGGCTCCAGGTCGTCCTGGTAGATCGGGTCGAGGTACGGCTGGATCTCGCTCCAGATGAAGGTCGCACACTGCGATCCCCTCTGTCGTGGGCATCGCCAGAAGATCCTCTTGTAGTTGTGCCCCTGTTTGCGGCACACATAGAGCTTGGTTGTCTCGTGATGTTCGCATTGCGGTGGAGGCCCCACCAGTCGTAGTACTTGATCTGTCACAAGATCTTGTCCGGCAACAGTGCTCGCCATGCTTGGTGTCATAGACCTCTGCGTCGTTGTAGACCGTCCACTCGCCACGGAGATCACGTCGAAGTCGTCCATGCTCCTCGAAGATGATGCCCTTGGAGGTGTCCGGGAAGTTGCCATAGCCGATGTCCTTGATGTTGTTGGTGCCCTCGTCCTCGACGGTGGATAGTCCTGATGCCCTACTTCCACAGGTTGCGGCGTTTGAAGCAGTCGCATCGCTAGCTCGTTGACCCGAGCCATCACAAAGAGCAATTTGAGGACCATTCGACACCAGTCCTCCCGAGTTCCCTGACTGTGGTCGTTCTGACGGGATCTCTTCCGTTCGGACTCCATCACTGCTGTCTCGGGCTGGTGGCACGTCGTGGTGCGTGGTGGTTTCCTTGGGCCTTATGAGCTCTGATGCGGTGGCTTCAGGGTTGCACTCCGTTTTCAAAACCTCAAACTCCGTTTTTGTGTTCTTAAATTGTTCATGAAGTTGGCTCAACTGATTTATTTGGGTTTTTGAGAACAAACATAAGGGAATCCTAAGGGCACCTGATGGTCTAAATGACAAGGAACAGAAAAATCAAACTGTTTGAAGTAAATCCTTAAACCTTCAATGGGGTCTAAAAACAACGTGGACCTACAAAACATCAAAAAGGGAAGTGAGATCAAGAACGGTGCATTTCGGCTTTCGGGGTTTTCAAAAACAGCAGGTTTCAAGACACTACCCTTTCTCCCAAGTCCTGTAGGAACAACTGCAACTTGGCTGGTGACGGATCGTCCATGAACTGATCGAAACCTGTGTTCCTGTTTGTGAAGGTGTACTGGAAGTTCCTCGGGTAAGTGCTTGGCCAGCTTCTTAAGGGTTTCTATACCAATAGCCATTCTCTGACATCCCGTATCAACTGTTGCACATGCTTCATCTGGTAAGTGGTTGGCATTCTTGGTACTAGCCCAGTGGTTAGTGGAAACCCCATGATAAACAGATTCCATTTCACCCAGAAAAACCTCCCAATCATCACAACCTCGGTCCTTATACCGGGACATGGGCTTCACATGTTCAAAACTGTCAGACCACTTGGCACTACCTGCAGCGTCCGTTTTGGACAGAGGCTGTTCTGCCTCGCACTCACCCCGGCCGCTCAGTCCTGCTTCTCCCGGGGACAGTTGATCTTCTTGGTCTCGCATTGGGCTCACCTGTTCTTTTCCATCAACTTCCAACATGCCGCAAAACGTGGCCTCCTCGGACTGGAGGTAGTGCTGCTCCTTCTCGCCAGAGCCACGGTGCAAATCAGGACATTCTCTATGCCAGTGCCCCACCTTGTGGCAGTGTCCGCACTTGGTCACTTTCTTCACCTCTTCTATCGTCATTCGGTACTGCCCTGACTTGAAAGGCTGTCGACCGCCGGTGGTCGTGGTGAAGGATTTCCCTCGACCTTTCCCACTGTTGTGGTATCCTCGGCCCAACTCCTTTGCCTTCTTGGCCTTCTGGCTCTGTGCAAAGTTCCTCTTCTTGCTGAGCATTGTGCTCAAGATCTCCACGGCCTCGTGCTCCTCCAAGATGTTCCCTTCATCTTCTTGAGCTCCCGAAAGATCACCTGCTGGTTCTCCATCTTGTAGATCTCGGATCGCGGTCTCAAGAGCGAAGATCTCCTCGTCCTCCAAGTCGGTCTCGTCCTCGTTCAGCATGTAGTGCCCGCTGCCCTTCGTCACGTTGACATTCTTTTTCTCCACTCCGACCTGGTTCACCTGCAACTTGGTTTCATGCTTCCGAACCCACTCCTTGATGTCCTTTGGCATGATACTTCCATGAGTGAAGTTCATCATAGACTTGATCTCTTGGTCGTTGAGGCAAAGTGCCTGAATCAAGAGAAAGCCGATGTACTTGTCCGGCAATTGAACCTTGTGCTCGGTCACCTTTCGGTAGGCAGATTCCCACCTATTGAAGAAGGTCCTGTAGGCCTCATTTTTCTCACGACGCACATGGTACGTCACCTTGGCCAAAGCGCTCAGCAAGTCTTCATCACGGTCGTCTCCAAAGTACTCGGAGAGGTCCATCATGTTGATCAGCTCCTCTCCATTGGTGTCGCTTTGCATCCACTTGGAGTCTTTGGCGAGAAACTTCATCGTCTCGAATGGGGTCTTTGAGAGCTTGGAGAGAAGCAGCGGCCCTCTCGTGCGGGGTTTGCTACGAGTTGTAGCAAGCCACAACCTGGCTTTGATGACATAGTCCTGGAAAACCAAGCTCTCTCCATCCCATTCCGGTGCTGGTCCTGCGTTCGTCCGGCCATCATCATAGCCATCAGATCCAGCACTGCTAGTGCGATGTCTTCGTCGTTCTGTACCGCGTTGTCTACCGCGGTTGCGCATCCACGCTCTGAACTCTTCGCTGTCAAAGCCGTCGTCCTGGTCGGCCTCATCATCATCGTCAGCCGGTGAAGATCTGTCAACTCTGAGCGATCCCACCTCGGCTGTTCTCACTGGTGTTGTCGGCCTGCCCTGGCCGTGGTCACTTCTTGATCGTCCACCCAGTGCATCGTCGCTGCCTTGCGATGATGGTGGCACTGGCTGGTCCATGGCAAAAACCTATCTCGGATGCCCGGATGTTTCCCGGGCTCCGCTACCACTGAAAAGCAAAGTGGCAGGCAATCAGCCCTTTTCCAGAGCGCCTGCTCGTGTGTCTCCCCCACACGATAGGGCCTAAGCCCATGTCTCCGCTGGCGAGGACGCGCTTTGTTCAATGATGCGTTTTGCATCCCTGAAATTCACAGATACATATATGGTACAAAAATGTACGTACAATACACATATGATAATATATGATACATTCATGACACATATATCGCACATAAATGATACAAATACATTCATGATACGTATATGATACATATATGACACATATAGACAAATACATTCATGATACATATATGACACATATATCACACATATACGATACTTATATGATACAAAAAGGTAGGTATATAATACGAATATGATACGTATATGACACATTCATGACACATATATCACACATAAATGGTACAAATACATTCATGATACATATGTGATATGATACATATATGGCACATATATGAATATGATACAAATACATTCATGATACATATATGATACATATATGGCATATATATATATATATATGAATATGATACAAATACATTCATGATACATATATGCCACATATATGATACGTACATGAAAAAAATGTACGTGCAAAATATGAATATGCTACATATATGATACCTGTATGACACATATATGATACATATATTAGACATATATGATACAAAAATGTATGTATATAATACGACTATGGTACATATATGATACATTCATGACACATATATCACACATAAATGATACAAATACATTCATGATACATATATGATACATATATGGCACATATATGAATATGACACAAATACATTCATGGTACATATATGATACAGTCATGGCACATATATGAATATGATACAAATACATTCATGATACATATACGCCACTATGATACGTACATGATACAAAAATGTACGTGTATAATACGAATATGCTACATATAGTGTTCAACATTCAGGATTCCTTCCTTTTTATGACTAAGCTGCGCTAGAGGCGTTATTGATCTAAGAGATGATCACATCTCAAAAGAACAGAAACCAGAGGAACAAAGAAACGAGAACCCCAGGAACATCAAGCACCACCAGATGTCCGGAGCCCCCCGGGTTCCCCCAGCCCCCCGCGCGCAAACACCTACCCAAAGCCACCTGTGTCTGTTCTCCCATAGGCCAATGCCATTATCAGACACACCCTGTGTACCATCCTTCCCGTTTTGCGCAAATGCGCGAGTGTGAAGTAGGCTGGCTCAAGCGGGAAAGATCAGGTGGGAAAAAGCCAGGGCAAGGGAGGAGAGGGAGATTCAAACAACTGCATTATCAAATGATGGCCTGCATTTCATTGCCAACTGGCGAAACTGTCGTAACTGGGAATCTGACAGTTGCAGTTCTGTTAACTGAGCAACTGCATCAGAAATATATATTCTAGCAGTTTTTACACTGCTCCATCGGCCTTTTACACAAATAGCAGCAATATTGTTTGTTGTTCTAAACGCATGGGTTGCCCCTCCACGTCGAACACTGTACCACCGAAAGGGGAACGAAATTTTTAAAGTCAGCAACAGGTCATTCAACCGTTTACGTTGGGTTCCACCAGAGACATGAGAAAGAGAGTCACCAGGAGACAGGTTAACCAGAAACCTTTTCAACAACACCAACACAAAAGGATCAGTCAAAAGGATACTTTCAGTCACGCCTTGTCGTTGTCCACTTTTTGAAAGGGGCAAGGTCCAAGTACCCGACTTGCTACCCAAGACAAAGTCACCAGCTTTGGCGCGAAAAAGTTCGCCCGCACGAGCAAAGGTGTGAAACCCCAGGATGAGCAAGACAGCAAGATCCACCCAGCCATGATCGGCGGCAGCCTGAGCAACTGCATATAGAAGCAGAGGTGTAAACGGTGGTGCTCGGCAGGGAAGTTCTGCTCGCCCCCAGGCCGCATGCAGTCTCCAACCGCCGACTAGGTAGGGTTTACAGGGTGGAATAAAGTGACCCAAACCACTAAGGCAGTCTCCAGCCCATCCTTTAGGGTCTCCCTGCTCCCAAAGTTCCTCAATAAACTGTGAGACCTCCAAATCCAAAACTAAAAATGATGACGGGTAAGGTTTCCCTTGTGAAATTAGGAATTCAAGAAATCGTGAAACACTGGCCAAATATCTAGCTTCAGTTTTGGGTGAAACAACCTGCGATTTTAGTCTCCCCAAAGCCTTTCGATCCCTTTGCCTCTCAGCCCGAGTCCTTTTTGCAAGCACTTGTCGTTGTCTAGGCATCTTGCTTAGCGCGTCTGCTGACCCATCGCGATGGGCCATCAGCAGGATTCCATTCTGATTTGACCCAGGCAACAACGAGGCGCGTGGATGTGGCTACCAAAATGGCAGCCAATCGTCGAAGAGGCTTTCGGAGACTGCAGGCGCTGGTGCGTCCTTTCGTAAGAATGCCCACGACTGAGGCATTGTCCACCAGCAGCAAAGATTTCTTTTGAAAGTTTGCTGACGTTCTGCTCAGCTTTCTCATCAGGTCCAAAACAGCCACAGTTTCAAGTTGGGTGATGTGGGCATTTGGCTGCTTCCATTTGTACGAAAGGACCACCTTCCATTCCCAGTGTGTGGGATCAATCGAGCGACGACAGAAGTCGCTTGCCGAGAATGGGACTCCGTGATCCAGCTTGACATCAGTCCCTCGGTGTGAAACGTTGCGGGTGATGAGATAGGTCAGCAATTGCTCATCACTGAGTGCTTCATTGGGATCCAGCAGGGACCTTGGGGAAGGCAAGAGGCGACCAGACCTGCAAAGGCAGTGCCGGAGGCCCCCCACCGCACCCTTGGCCCCCGGACCGAATCGGGTCGACCATGAAGCCTCCTTGAGCTGTTGCACTCGATCTTCATTAGTTTTCCAAATTTTCCAGAGCTCGGCCGTGAGGTCCATGTCAGAATCTGGCGCATCCGTGCTACACAGACCAGCCAGAAGCCGCGCCACCACCAAGACAGGAAACGTGTTTCCAATCAGCTGACCTCGTTGATCTTCAGTCAACTTCTGCTTGAGGTCCAGGGCGTCGGAATTGTAACCCAAGAGTCTGAGTTGCTCATCTGAGAGCAAGCGTCGAGGGCCTTGTGGTGTTTTCACCAAATTGTCCTCTGAATATTGGTAAGGGGCCAGACGATACGCATCACCCCGCCAACGACCCAGAGTTTTGGCATCACAGCGGTCGTATCCCGCTGGATCACGTGGTGGCTCTGCCCTCGGCATGGGTCGAGCGAAGGTGAAGAAAGGGCGCACATCATCAATCAACTTGGTGCAGCCGCGCCGCAGAAACCACTCCAGCGGTGGCTTTTCTGTCGTGATCTTGGCCACAGTCAACTTGGTTTGCAGGTTCCCTACCTGCTGCTCCGGCAAGAGTTGGAGATCAGCTCCTTCCATGATGGAAAGGTTCTTCAGCCAGAAGAGTCGTGGCCGGCGGCAACGCAAGGCATCAGCAGCCTCACACATGATTGGCAGGACCCCAATTTTGTCCGATTGCACCGTGAGGTCCTGCTGATCCATCACTACATTTTCATAAAACTCGATAATGTCCCAGTCGGGCAGGTGTAGAGGGCGGCTGACTTGTTTCAGTTGCTCTGCGAGGGCCAGCATCACGTCGAGAAGCCTGGAAGAATCAGCTTCTGCTCCCAGACGATTGGTGTTGAGAGAAGAATGGTTCACACACGGCCATCCACCTCCAAGCACCACCTTCTGTGCCCTTGGGAACTGCAGCCTCCATGATTTCACCATTGCCCTGTCAACCTTGTGAATGTTGTCGACTGTCAAGACAAATGCGCAGTGACGCTTTGCCAACTTCAGGCACACTGGGTCCGTGTCAATCAGGATAATGCCTTGTGGAAGGAGCCCAAGCAGTTCGATCGCTTTTCGCAGGCCTCCCATGCCGCCAAAGACTTCAATGAGCACAACCCCATCACAGGCTCCTCCTTCTCGACCTTCATGTTCAGAACACATCAGGTGGAGTTTGGCTCGTCCACGTGCAGACAGACAAGTTGTCTGACAAGCACCTCCCCCTTCAGGAGAAGCATCAGTTGCATACACCGTCGGGTTGAGACAGGTGCGCTGGTTGCTCCAAAGCAGTGGCAGCAAGCAAGTGAGCATCAACAGCTCCTCGTACGCAGCCAGATCCACACAGGTGTTGATATCGTCCAGGTTGAGGTTTCTATAAAGATCATCAAAACAGCAAGCCACAGGGCGGCAGTACTGTGTGGCATGCATGTGCTTCCCAACGACCGACAGCAACTCCAGATCACACGTCCTCATGTCCTCTTTCATCAGGAGGCAAAGGGATGATGACATCACCGCCCTTCGAAATTTTCGTGAGCTTCCCACAAGGCCTTCCATGCCCAACTGTTCGGCTCCAAGGCTGACCCACTCAAGCGTACCTTCTGCCGCTTTCTTCTCATCACGGCCGATATCCCAGGTCTGGAAAGTCCGTCTAAGCTGCAGCTGGCTGTCAGACGGTCGTCCCTCATACTCCGCCAGGTCGGTCCTTGCAATGATGACAAAACCATCGTAGTTGTCGACATAGAAGCTGTGATATTGCCTTGGTGTCGTGAGCTCCAGAAGAGGAGATGGCTCACCCATCTTGACGCATCTGCTTGCCGGGATTCCACCCAGAGTTCCCATTCTTTCCAAAGACGATTGGACAAAGTCAACAATATTTGCCCACCCCATTGGGGCTGACCGTACCCGAGGTCTTCCTTTCTCCTTCACCCCGTCATTGAAGCTGCCACCACTTGCTTCTTTTGACAGCACGAAGTAGCCCCGCCACCTGGGACCCGGGGAGAAGATGTGAAAACAATGTTTCACGTCCTCACCGTAAGAGAGAACGACCTCGTCCTCCAAGAGAACCATGTTGCCCCAAAGGGGTGCATACCCCATTGACTTCGAAGCTTGATCTGGCATTCGGCGTTG